ATGGAATGTCCGGAGGTGAAAGGTATAGTCGGTGAACACTTCACTTGCTGACTTTTCTTTCCTTCCACGATGCTACTTAGCATGAGCATTTCAGGGGATTTAGAATGTGTTAGGTTCAGCAGTGGCTTCAGTGAAAAAGCAAATCAAGTATATAAATAATCCCCTGCTGATACTCAGGTGTGTGCGTGCCTCTATGCATATGTATACACACATGCTTGTACACAGCAGGGCTGCAGATTGAATAGAGTCTCATCTGCCAGCAGGGAAGAATGATGAGGGAATTCTTCAATCAGACACATATCTTCCTAACAGGGAAGAGGGATGAGTAAACTCTTGGTTCACGGTTCTGTTTATACTCAAGTTAATCAGAAAAGATAATCATTTGTTGGCTTAAGTGAGCACCTTGTGACCGGAATATGTTGGTCATTATGTAAAAATGTTATGAGAACTCCTTACTGAAGTGTTCCTGAAACATAAACAGAAATGCTTCTGGAATTCAGGTAGTTATCATTTATGATTGGCACTAATGAGGGCAGTGCACTGAGTTCAAACAAATGAATAGAGCAATTAATGGAAGTGTAAAGGGTACCCTAAATTAGAAATTTATTCATCATTCTTCCTGTTGTGACTGCTCTCTGGCTTTGACTGTGGAGTATGTTTATCCTAAGGCTGACTGACCTTCTAGATAGGTTCAAAACATTTAGCTGTATAGATTACATGGACTTGGGATGGTGAAATACCAATTGCCAAGCTGTAAGGGTTTTTTTTTTTCTTAGACCCTTGCTGATTATCTCATGAGATGGTGCTAATATATATGATTGGTAGAAGGAGAAGAAGTAGTAGGAGTAGTAGAAGTTATTGTAGTAGGAACTGTAGTAGTAGTAGTAGTTATAGTAGTAGTAGTAGTAGTAGTTATAGTGGTGGTAGTAGTAGTAATAGTGGTGGTGGTATTAGTAATAGTAGTAGTCATGGTAGTAGTAATAGTAGTAGTGGTAGTGGTAGTAGTAGCCATAGTAGTGGTAGTAGTAGTGGTAAGTACAAGTGGTACCACCACTTGTAGTGGTGGTAGTAGTAGCAGTAATACTATTAGTAGTATTATTAATAGTATTATTATACTATTAGTATAGACTAATTATATAGTAATACTAATAGTATTATTAGTAGTGGCAGTAGTAGTAATGCTAGTAGTAGTGGTGGTAGTAGTAGTAGTAATATTATTAGTAGTAATAGTTGTAATGATGATGATGATGATAGCAGCTGGCAATGTGATGTGTGGTACAAACAGAACTGGACTTGGAGCTGAGAGAGATCTGGGCTCAGAGCCTACCTGACACTATTGTCTCAGTTTTCACCGTTTTGGGGAGTGGAGCTGGGAGGGGCTAAGGGTGTATATCTGAGAAATTAGTCTTTGAGAGATTCTATATTAACCCAGGAGCTTTGCATGCATGGCAGGGTTTGCTATAGGGCTGAGTTGCATCTTGAAAGAAAATATTATGTAGTCATTAGCAGCTCCTATCTGAACTTTTGTCTGTCTTTTTAGGTTTACCCAGCCAAAGAATAGGTATATTAGCACAGGACTAAATTGGGAGGGAAAAAAAAGTAGCCTGGACAGGTTGATAGACGTCTGTCCTTGGAGTCAGGAAGGATCTACCTCTATCTCAAAGTAGTTTTGTTACCATGGGCAAGTCATTTAATCTTTCCATACTCTAGGCAAATAAATCTTCAATGATCCTAAATTGCATAGGAGTGGCAGATAAGCCATGGAAGGAGTTCTCACACCAGGAGTGAGAAGTGAAATCCCTGCAGAGGTGAAATCACAGGTCTGCCTTCCTCCAAAATATAAACAAAAAATTTTGAAGAGCAATGCAAATTATTGGGAACTCAGCATTTAATAGAATGGGAGATTTTAAAAGAAAATAAATCTTGGGAAAATGTAAATCATGATTAAATAAATAAGTTGTTTTATTATGTGGTCTACTTTGTGTGTATATATATGTATATGCACACATGGTATGCGTACATGATACAACTATAAATGCTTACACTTATATGTAGGGGTATATTTTAAAAGAATGAGGTGATTTTCAGTCTGATTTTTAAAAAATTTCTGGCTCTGTGTCATCTATAAAAGCACCTGCATATGTATTTTTTGGACATAATTTTGGGTTAAGCTACTTTATTTTGCATGCTGCTCTTTTAGAAGACCTATGTGAAAGGGGTCCTTTCTCCCTACCTTTGACAGAACTTTAAAGGTGTCTATCTAAAGTAAACTTCACCAAAAGAACTGATATAATAGGGAATTTTTTCATTCTATATAATCTGAAGCCTTGGAAGGTCAGAAATTTTTAGGGTGGAATCCATAGGATGGAGAAGCAGCAAGATGTAGTAGAGAGAGAGCTAGCTTCAGTCTTGAAGAAGTGGGTTGAAGTCCTACCCCTAACACAGACTACCCAGATGACCCTGGGCAAATCACTTAACCTTTTTGATGCCCCGGGCAAATCACTTAACCTTTTTGATGCACCAGGCAAATTATCTGACACTATAAATTGCAGAACAGGTGGCAATCTCCATTAATAGAGAGAGTTTCCTTACTAGACATTGTCTATAACAAATTAAATCAAAGCTCATTAGTAGAAAACCAAACAAGCATGACATTTTGAGCTAAAAGGAGCTATATACTGTTCAGTCCAATTTATCATGGTGACACCCTTTCGAACAGTGTGGTCATGTGATCCGTCTTTCACCATTGTAGACACTCAGAATAAGGGAAGAAGAGGGGGAGCAAAGTTTCCTGGTGTTCTGAGGATCGAATCAAGTCTCCTACTGGGCATGAGAGAGATTCCTGTGTCCTTCTGGTTAGGAGTATGAGGTCTTTGTAAGGAAGAGGAACAATTCATTGAGGTGTGAGTGATGATGGGAGGTAATACCTGCATTTAGAAAAGTTCTTTAAGTAAAAGTGGCCCCAAAGTAGCTCTGCCAGCATGGTAGAGTGACAAGACACAGAGTTGGCTGCCATCTTAATTTCTCCAGTGTCAAAAGGCTTTATTTAATGGTTTCTTTTGATTTTCCATTTGGAATGACTTCATTAATCTTAAAAGTGATCAAAATGAGATGATATATGGAAAACAATTTGTCATCATTAAGCGCTGTGTGTGTTATTATTATGAAGTTATTAACACTCTCCCAGGAAAAGGTAGTGGAGCATCTAGAAGATAATCAAATCTTGGTGATTTTATAGCACAGAGGAAATGGTACATTTCACCTCTTCTAGATTTTGGGCTAACTTAATACTCAGGGTAAGTTGGGATTATAGGTTTAGAGAAATAAGAGAATTAGGAAATCAACTAGTCCAGCACTCTTAATTTTTGACATTTGAGGAAACCAAAGTCCATAAAGGTATGCCCAGGTTTACAAAGGTCATGAGTGGCAGAGCTGGGTTTTGACATGAAATCCAACACTCATTTTACTGTGTCAGGTTGCTTCTCGCAGTCATCTGTTCTAATTTCCTAGCATAGGTACAGAATCTGTAATAACGCATCAGATATAGCATTGTGCCAGAAGAGTAGTGAAATTAGCCTGCCCCAATTAACAAGACGCTGAGAAGGCAAACTGTGAAAGATCCAAGACAAAGTCACCAATTAAATCAAAGCCTTGGGCCAACTAAGCATTATTGGGAGTCTGTGCTTTAAAAGGACCTGAGCATGAAACTGGTTAACAGCTGGGTCTTCCAACTTTTTTTTTTCCTTTTGGCTGGGAGCCACTGAAAAGGTAAATGCATAGCATACTCCGTCTTTGAAATTCCCAGGGCCAGAATAGATTTATCCATTAATAACAATAATAAAAATAATGGTGGGGGGGGTGGTGGTGATGATGATGATGATGATGATGATGATCATAGTTACAGTGGGTAAGAATACTGGACTTGGAGGCAAGAGGGAAGGTCTGAGTTCAAATCCAGCCCTAGACACTTACTAGTTGTGTTTCCCCAGGCAAATAACTTAATCTCTTTTAGCCTCAGGTTTCTCATCTGTAAAATGAGGACAATAACAATACCTACCTGACTGAGTTGTGAGAATCCAATAACATATGTAAAGAACTTTGCAACCTTAAGCTATATAAATCCTAGCTTCTTCTTTTTGTTCTCCTCCTCCTTCTCCTCACTAATGTGCAGCGTGGTTAATTCTAGGGGTTTTTTGGTTGTTTGGTTTTGGACCTGTGATTTCACTGGTAGAGAATCTCCTATTATAGCAGATCAGCTGTTGATCTTTAGTGTATAATCTTAGATATTTGCCTGGGGAGCAGAGAGCTTAGGTGACTGCCCAGGGCTTATACAACCAATATGTGTCAGAGGTAAGACTTAAACTTTTCTGATTCCTAGGTTGGCTCTCTCTCTCCCCAACGTCTCCTTCTCTCTCTTGCTTGCCTTTTGGTGGACAAAAGGCAACCATGAATGGGATCTCATGAGGAGAAGGGAAAAGGCTGAGAAATGGATGCCTGTTTAGTGCATAATTTTGTAGATAAAGATTTACCAGTTGTGTGGGGAAAAAAATCCCACCGTACAGGTCCTCAAAGTATTTATTGCACTTACATACCATACACCAGATATATAATAATGTTATAATATTGTTATGTTTCTATCACTTTGCAAAACTTAAAATAAAATATAAATGTGAACTCTGGCAAACTTTGCCCTCTTGGAGCTCTCATGGTCTATTAGGGGAATGTGATGGATTCAGAGTCCAGTGGGCTTTCTACCACACATCTCTAATGTTATATATCTTTGGCTATTGACTTGTGGACAAGGGCACGCATGGATGCTGAAGAGTGTCTGTGACATTTATATTTTGAGTCAAGAAAATGGAATTTACAAGGTCCTAAACCGTGAAAATCAAACACACATACACACTCTCTGTCTCTGTCTCTCTGTTTCTGTCTCTGTCTCTGTCTTTCTCTCTGTCTCTCTCCACAGATATAATGATTTGTGTTTCCTTTTGGCACAGGTTGTGAAAATCTTGGAGAAACATGACCCTTTGAAAAATGCCCAGGCAAAATACGGATCTATCCCTCCAGATGAGGCCAGTGCCGTCCAGAATTATGTGGAACATATGCTTTTCCTGCTGATTGAAGAGCAGGCTAAGGATGCTGCTATGGGACCCATTCTGGAGTTTGTGGTCTCAGAGAACATCATGGAGAAGCTATTCCTTTGGAGCTTGAGGCGAGAATTCACTGATGAAACTAAGATCGAACAGCTGAAGATGTATGAGATGTTGGTGACCCAGTCCCACCAGCCTCTGTTGCACCACAAGCCCATCTTGAAACCTCTAATGATGTTGTTGAGCTCTTGTTCTGGGACAGCCACACCAGCTGTGGAGGGAGAGCTGGTTGTCTTGCTCAATCAGCTCTGCTGCATCCTAGCCAAAGACCCATCCATTTTGGAACTCTTTTTCCATACTAGTGAGGATCAAGGAGCTGCCAACTTCCTCATTTTCTCCCTTCTAATTCCCTTCATTCATCGTGAGGGGACAGTGGGACAGCAGGCACGAGACGCTCTCCTTTTCATCATGGCCCTCTCAGCTGAGAACAGCATGGTGGCCAACCACATTGTGGAGAACACCTACTTTTGTCCAGTAAGTTTTTGCATGTGGTCCACGCTCTTGTTTCCACCCGTTCTTCCCCATCCCATGTTAGTTCTCATTAGTCTTTTCCTTTCCCTTCCTTCTTTTAACTACTTTGTGTCTTGTTTCACATCAAGTGTTGAAAGATGTTGGGCCTTTGGGGAAGACAGTGTTGGAGAGAACAGAAAGAGCTAAATTCACCTGCCATGTGGCTGAGAAATCTTTCCCTGAGCACAGCAACTGGGAGAAAGGAGAGATTTGTGTTACCATTTTCCCCCTCCTGGCTTTCAAGTTTCATATATATTCCATTAGGAAACAGTTTATAGTTTGTTCCAATGGTGCAAATCATGAAAGATCAATAAAACTCGCATTCTTTTTATTCACTGCTTCTCTGGGGGAGTTCTCTGCCAGGAGGCGATGGTGGATGGTGAGGCCTCCACACAGTCAAAATCACAAATTCACCCAAGGGCGGGGACTGTTTCCTTTTGGACTTTGTCTCTTCAGTGCCTGCCCAGTTCCTGGCTTATGTTAGACCCTAATAAATATTTGTTGATTAATTGATTTTGTTGTAAGATGGGGACCATTAATTCCTTGGGCTTTAGCCGTCGCATAGTCCAGTTCCCTTCATTTTGCATGTGAGAAAACTTTGACCTAGAGAGAAGTGATTTGCCCAAAGTCACACTGGTGGCAGAGCTAGGAAGGTGAACCCCCAGACCCTTTGACTCCAAATCTTGCCGTAGCACTGTGTTTTTAATGAAAAATAAGACTTCAGAATTCTAACATAGTTATCAGTCAACCCATGATTAATCAATCAACAAGGATTTATTAAACTGCTACCATGTTCTGGGAGCTAAGGGTACAGATACACAAATAAGAGAGCCCCTACCCTGGCGGAGTTTTTATTTTTCTTGGGGAGTGGGAAGGAGGATGAGTCTGGGAGATGTGTGTTGACAGATAAATAAATATAGAATATACATGAAATAAATATGCAACGATTGGACAGAGGAGATAGTACTTGGGCTGGGAAGGAGTTGACAAGGGAGGGAATTTCAGGCATGGGAGGTAGGAGTTGGATGAGATGCAATGTCATGTGAAGAGCCTGCAAACATATGTGACTAGAGTTTAAAGGAGGGAGTGAAAAAGGGGGAAAAAACCAAGCATTTATTCAGTGCCTACTGTGTGCCGGGCATTGTGCTAAATATTTTACAAATATGATCTGATTTGATGCGTTTAATTTGTAATCTGTATAGAACGATAGGCAAATTGTGAAGATCTTTCAGCATCAATCTCAAGTTTGTATTTTATCTTAAAAGCAATGGGGAACCACTAACATTTCATGAACAAAGAAGTTCTGTGACGCCTGTGTTTCAGGAGGAGACTGTCATAGTTTTCCCTATGCCATTTCACCTCTTGACATAGAATGAAACAAAGTGTAGACCTCTAAGACTAGAGTTGACCAGATTCAGCTCCATCTTTACCTGTTTACTTCTTTAAGTGACACAAGGCTCCCAGCTCCTCTATGGAGTGTTCCAGAAATCTTCCATAAGCTTCAACTGCTTACACTTCAATAGCTTAAAACTGCAATAAGACTTTTGGGACACCCCATGAACCAGTTCTATGTGGTAACCAAATGGCATCTAAGGATGATCATAGTGTTAAAGCACCTCATGTAGGTGTAGGGAATGGGGTGGCATTTTGAGTGCTAAGAGGATTTTAACTGGACAGACTCAGAATGTGTCCACTGCTTCCAATAGGAGCTATTTACATTTTTCAAGCACAGTTTTCAGACAGACTCTTATTACCTCCCCACATTCTTTTCCTGATTCACAGACAGTGCATTCTTGGCCCTTTGAAGCCTCAAATATTCCATATTTTGCTGGAATCCCTTCAAGGACAGTTATGTATGTGTAGACATACGTGGATGGTTAAATTTGGAAATGGGCAGATAGCGCTTCCTTGCCATAAGACACACTAAGTGGATGGAGTTGATTCACTGCTAATTATGAAATGTGATAGGATTTGCTCTAAGGTTAAGAATCAATAACTGGCTTCACATAACTGAATTGCTAGTTTCTGTGCATTTGAAATTAAAGCAGGGCCAGACATGGGAGCACATGCCCATAATCCCTGCTACTTGAGAGACTGAGGCTGCTGGATTGCTTGAACGAGGGAGTTCTGAGCTGCAGTAAAGTTAAAGCTGATAGGGTGTTCATCCTAAAGCTGGTACCGATATGGTGAACCCTCAGGAGATTGGGGCTGGGGTGGAAAGAAGTCACCAGGCTGCCTGTGGAGAGGCAAGCTGGTTAAATGGAGGAGGGATAAAGCTTCCATGCTGGTCAGGAGCAAGAGTGGGCCATGAGTGGATGTTGTACTCTCTGCTTGGACAAAATAGGGATGCCTAGTCAAGGGAGGGAGAGAGAGAGACAGAGACAGAAAGAGAAAGAGAGAGAGAGAGAGAGAGAGAGAGAGAGAGAGAGAGAGAAATGTGTTGCCTAATTGACATTATAGGGGTTTATTTTAGAGCCTCCAGAGGCAGCTATATATTGAATTAAGATACACAATACACATACATATATACCTTCTATACATATACATATACATATACATATACATAGAGTATTCCAAAAGTCTATGAGAGGTAAAATAGCACTAAGACTTTTGGGACACTACGTGTGCATGTGCATGCATGTGTGTGTGTGTGTGTGTGTGTGTGTGTGAGAGAGAGAGAGAGAGAATATAGAGAATGTTTTTCCTTTTTGTGGGATATATTGCTTTAGCATGATGGAGTTTATTGGTAAACTGCCTTTGTATTTAACTACCACCATATATTTTAGTGATCTAAGAAAAACATTGCTGTATGAAAAAAACATTAAAAGTAAGACAGCCTACAAGGTAAATAGGATTTGAAATTAGCTTCTGGTTTACTGAGGATAGAACTGCATAGCTTTGCTATTAAAGAAGGGGGATGAGTGATGTAACAGTTCATCAGCAAGGGATTGGGGTAGGAATCTTTAGGATAATAACCCTTCAACATGTATAATGTTGGAGTGGTGGTGAAACCAGTTCTTATGCTATAGCCAGGTTTGATTGTTGGTTTTCAGAATTGCCTTGCTTTAAAAAAAATGTGTTTAAAACACTGTACTTACTGCTTTTAAAGTTTAGGGGAGAAAAACAGGAGGCAGTGAGGACACGGGCTGGCCTCATTTGAATAAAAGTCATAAAGGAATATGGAGCTTGGTTGTGTTAAGTTGTGCCCCTTAGGATAGATCCCATAATCTGATTTGTACTCTGGCTTCCATAATTACATCTGACACTTAATTTAGAAAACAAGGTCTCTTTACAATGGAGATAAAAAGCTCACTCCATTAACCATCTAGCAGAGGACCACAATTGACAAAAAGCTTTCCCTAATTAGTATGATTGTCAAAGTGTGTTAGCATCGGTCTTCTTGAAGAGTAATGACTCTTTTAGAAAACTAGGCCGCTGTTTGAACATTTTTTTTGGAAGGGGAGGGAGTAGGCTAATGGAAAGAGTTTAACACTCACCTGCTCCTACCTTCAAGATGTTCTTTGTCTGTACTTTCCCAAGGAAAGATAGAAAGGAAACCATTCTGCTACAGAAAATATTTTAATGCTAGCACATGGCCAGGAGACTAGATGATCTTATCAGCAGATTTAATTAAAGAAAAAAAAATCAGACAGAAATTGTTTTAGCCTTAGCAATTTGTTCCCCAAAAAGAATCTGTAAATCAAGACATGCAAATGAGAACAGCTAACCTTTAGGCACATGGATGCAGGTAGAAAGTTGTTGATCTCATCCCAAATTTATGAGGCCCTTTATTTTGGTGAGTTGTATCAAATAGTCCCCACCAGGTGTGTGGCTGCCAACTTCAGATAGAAACCATCTGCTGGAATACCTTAATGCTCTTTTGCTAAAAATGAATTGGATACCAAAAGACCTTTAAAGTTCAAAGACAAGATCTCAGCAGAGAAAGAACACAGGCTGCCGAGGTTGGGTGGTGCTGTTATTACTACTATAGGCTTATTTCCCATTTGAGGAAATTATGCGAGATATTGATGAATTATGTGATTGGATTAAGGCTCCCAAATGTTGGTCATAAAGCCAGAATTATATCAAGGACCTGTGATTTTTACCCATTGGTGAATGCCCAGTGTGGGAGTTCCCTTCATGGATGTGGTTTTCACCCAATCTATAACATAGAGTCCAAGAAAGTTTTCTGAGGCTGAGAGATGAAAATTTTTGCCCATGATCACATTTCTAGTAAATGTCAGAGAATGAATTTGAACCCAGGTCTTCCTGACTTTAAACCCTATCCATTATGTCAGACTGACTGTCAGAGCCTGGAATGTAACTGAGAGTTTTTTTATCTTAGACTTGTGGTTTTTCTGCAGTCTCACAACAGATTCCTCCCTCATTAATCCAAGTGTACTTGATTCTTTAGCAATTTATTTGTTGTGGTCGGTAGAGCTGATGCCTTCCTACCAGGTATTAGTGCTAGTTAACTTAGGAAATCTAGACCTGATGCTTTCTCTTAAGCCATGGCCTTCCATTTCTTTGAATCTTGTTTATGGGATACTTCTAAACTTTCTGGTATTTCATATTTATTAAGAGGTTTTTGGAGATAAGTAACAATCTAATTATCATGCATCTATAAAAAGATTAGTGGAACTGGGGTCCATTCATATTTCTCTGGCAGCCAGATGGCATTGGTGGATAGAATGCTGAACTCTTGGGAGTTAGGAAGACTCCGAAGTCCAGGTATTGCCTCAAGCACTTACTAGCAGTGTGACCCAGGGCAAGTCACTTAACCTCTTTCTGCCTCAATTTCTTTATCTGTAAAATGGGATGATAATAACATTGACCTCACAGGGTTGTTGTGAGGATCCTATGAAATAATATATGTAAAGTACTTTGTAAAACTCAAAATGCTATGTAAATTATTATGTTATTTTTATTACATAACTTCTATAGGTGTCATTTCTTCCATTTGA